TTTTTTTTTTTTTACAATAACCAATTATAATTGGAAAGAAAATCTATATTTACAACTGTAAGTCTCAATCAGTGTGCTTCTCAGTTATGTCCAGAAAAAAATAGGGATCTTCTAGTTGTGTGACAGAGTGATTAAGTGAATTTGAAATGGCATGACAACTGAAACTTGCCTTTGATAGGGTGAAGAGCTAATTGCATTTTGCAGCAGCTGTTTGGACTAGAAGGTCAGTAGTGGTGCCCAGAATTTATTCCTCATATACTTCTTTCAACAGATACCAGTCATTTGCCAGCTGAACAAGTTCCGTGATTGATATGTCTAGAACGTCCTCGTTTGTCAGGTGGAGATAGTAATACCTACCTCATAGGACCCTCATGGGGGTTAAATGAGATAATTTATATAGAGCAATTAGAATATTATCTGGCATATGACAAACATCCATTAGAAGTTTTCGTTATTTATAGCTTTCCTTATTTTAGTAAGTGTCTCATGTACAAAATGCTCATAAATTAAATACAGAGCTTTTCCATAAGAAGCTCAAGTTCTAGCAGCAGAATAAGTAAGAGCTGCCCAGAAATAAATATGCCTCCGCGAGGAGAAAAGGCTAAGTTTCTTGAGAGAGGAACAGATAAAGTCCTAAGGAACTTCAGAGGGAGAGACCCCTTCCAGACTGGGGTGAGGGGTGGGAATGAAGGGCAGCTTTGTGGCAGAGGGGCTGTCTGGGCCCTTCAGACCAGCTCTGTACTCAGAAGCAGCCGGAGCTGCCTTTCCCCTCAGATGGAGCCAATGCTGCTGGCTGTGAGGAACTGCCGGCCTTCCTGCAGGGAAACCCCTTCGAAGGCGGCAGAGGAAGGGATTCAGAACCCAGGCTGGGCCCCAGGCAGCCCTGGCGAGGAGCCCAGGCTCTGTCATTCATTCTGCTCAGCCTCGCGCAGGTTGGTCAGCCTCAGCAGCCCCCTTCGCCGGCACCGCCGTGATGTGAGGGGATATTAAACCTCCTGCACCTGATGGTTATAAGGGTCCTAGAAGGTGGTGTCTAGAGTACTCAGCCCATAGCATGGCGCCAGGCCACAGAGTCTGTCTGCTGTCGTCGGTCAGAAGGCCAAATGAGTGCCTGGCGTTGGCTGTCCTCTCTTCATGGCTTCTGTCACAGATGTACACTTACTCAGTGTTACAAAATATATGTGGTCGAAGAAAACAATAGCTTTGTTTTTATGAATGGGCTCCTTACTATTATTTTTGTTCAAATAACAAAACATGATCTCAAAGCACTGAGAGTGATTTTGGCAAACTGACCTGTCCAGGGCCCAGCTCATTTCCTGATGCCCACTTGGGCTTCTGGGAAAAGGACACAGTAGATAATGGCCCCAGCCGCCACCTCCAGTCCCTCCAAGCTGAGTGTTGCTGCTGAGAACACGCCTGACAGTTCTTGGTGGGCTTTTTTGTTCCTTATTCATGCTGACATTCTCGAGAAATAACAGGTTCTTCTGGCTTCCTGACATTCTTGACTTTATTCATTCACTGTTACATCATCAGAGTAGAGGATGGTGACACTGAGTCAGAATTAGAAAATAATGTCTTTAGGATGTTGCCGCTTATTTTTGCAAGTTTTTTTTTTTCAAATATTTTTGAACTTGTAGTATGTGCCAGGCACTTAATCCAGACAAAGAACCTTGTAGGGTAAGCGCTATTACTATTCTCACTTTACACAGAAGTTAACTTGGCCAAGGTCATCCAGTGCTGGAAGGTCCAGGGATGGGAAGGAAACCCAGGTCTCTCTGAGCTCACAACAGGCTCAGAGTTAACAGGCTGGAGTTGTTTTCATTCCACTACAGCCCCACACCAGTTTGTGGGAAAGCCTTCAGATTGGCAAACTCCCTCCTAATGTATAGTCTGTTTGCTTGGTCCTTCCTGATTACAGCATCAAAGATTTCTGAGAATTAAAGTTTTTGTTAAGTCACAAACTCCCACAGCCTCACACCCACCTATAAATAGCTTCTTCTTTCCCAAAAGAACTCCAATCCCAACTTCCCATCTAAGAGGTTTAAGACAAATCAGATCTGCCTCTATGGAGGGAGGGGTGACTAAAGCCCAGACTTCCTTCAGGTCACATGGTATTTGGGTAGCAAAGCAAGTAAGTACCCCCTCTACCTAGTGGCCTGTAGTGTTTCCTTTAGGCAATAGATTGACTATCTCTCCTCTCCCCTGGCCTGGCTGAACCTACCCCTTCCCCATTTGTTTCAATAAGTTTAGCTCATTTTTCTAAGTAGAAATGATCCCATTTAGAAATAGCATTGGCATGTGTGTGGTATGTGTGCTGGCCTAAGTAGGAGTTAAAGACTCAGTTTCCAAATCTGGCCCTTTAATCTTGAGCTGTGTGACCTTGGGCATGTCACTTCTCTGTGTTTCATTTTCCTACCCAGGAACAGCAGACTAATAATTCAGCCCCTGGGCACTAATGCTCCTACAATGAGAATCAGATGAGATTATGTATGACAATGAAGCTACCACCTATCAACACTTAGTATGTACAGATACTTTCAGTTCCCTTGCATGTGTTCTTCAATTCTCACAATCCTGAAAGGGAGGCCCTATTACTCCATTTTACAGTTAAAAAAAAAAGTTCAGAGAGGCACCTGGGTGGCTCAGTCCTTAAGCGCCTGCCTTCGGCTCAGGTCATGATCCCAGGGTCTTGGGATCAAGCCCCGCATCGGTCTCCCTGCTCCGTGGGAAGCCTGCTTCTCCCCCTCCCACTCCCCCTGCTTGTGTTCCGTCTCTCTCTCTGTCAAATAAATAAATAAAATCTTTAAAAAAAAGTTCAGGGAAGTGAAGTCACACAGGACTCAGATCCATATCTCTGGTTCCCAAATTGATGTTCATAAGCAATGTACATGTCACACTGCTTCCCTCTGTACACAGAAGTACAGAAGTTTCATTTGTCTTCCCCTGCAAGCACTCTACAAATGCAAGAGGTTATTATGGTCTCTCCTGATCACGCTATTCCACGTTAATCCCTAAGGCAGTGCTGCCTCTTTCCATGTCCCCCAGGCCTTGTTCAGTGAATTCTTTGGGATTTTCTCCCAGAGAAACAGTTCAGCTCCACCACAACGGCAGTCGAAGGAACCAGGCTGAGCCTGGCATTATGGACATTGGCCTTCTGACCTGTCAGGTGCTTCCTCCCTCAAGCATGTTGTCAGCCAGCTTGTAGTAAAATACTTTTATGTTGCATTTGTTGGTGAGCTCCTCAGTCACTGAATTTCAGAAGTGGAAGACCCCAAAACCATCATTTTATTGATGGGGAAACCGAGGTCGAGGGAGAGAGATGACTTATTTGAGGCCATTCATTCAGTTCGGAGTGTGACTGAGACCAGAACCGAGTTTTCCAGGCAGCAGACCAGTGCTCCTTCTGAGCCTTGCACTTGGGCACGTGTCATCTCCCCTAAGTGAAGGACAAACATACACTGTACCCAGCATGCACCTAGGAAACTTGGAGAAATTGAACGACTTAGAAAATTGAGCAGGAGGAAATGAGGGTGGGGTGGAGTGGGGATGCCGATCTCCACCCTCACGAGGGTATTACACACTAAAGAAGTGAATTAAAACACAGCAAAGCAAACTAGATTGCTCTCAGTCAGCAGTGACTACAAGGCAAAGGGACGTAATGCCAGGAGCCCTGGCCCAGTGAGTGGATAGGAAGCCTTTTGTCACTAAGGCTGCGCTGTTGAAAATTGAAGGAAGGATGTTAGGCAAATATGACGGCCTGGGATGAAGTTACAGCCCCCCAGCTCATTGTCCAGAGGAAATGGATCTCCCCCGTGGACAGAGAGGTGGAAACTGAGCAAGGGAGCTGAGTGGTTGACATCATCAGGCTGAGCATTGGGTTACAACAAATGGGGACTTACTTGGCCCGAGACATGGGAAACACCCACTAAAACCTCGAAGTGCATTTCATTTAGAGACACACAGAGAGAGGGCAAGAAAGAATCCAGACTGCACCGCCGGCCTGGTCTGCTAATCTCGCCAACCCTCAAAAGGGAGGCGTTTTGAATCCTGCTTTCTTAAATTCTCCCTTCGCTTGTGACTGAGGAGCCCTGGACTTTGGAGAAATTCTTTGCTCTTGTAAGTAGAACTTTATTCTCCACCGCCACCCCCACCCCCGGGGAGAGCAGGGCTTGGAGGCAGAGCTGTCTGGAGAGCTTGGCTGGCTTTATTTATTTATTGCTTTTTTTTACAGCCTGTCGGTCACAAAGTGTCTATTTTTATATTATGATATATTATTGCTCTGAAAATTATGGCTTTGTCTGAAACTGCCTGGGGCTAGAGTCTGAACTCAAGTTTCACAGATGGGCTCCATTCAAACGCTGTTTAACTTTTTTACCCCAAGAACGCTGACAGATCGGCTAGAGCTTTAAAAGCAGCTCCTTGCCCTAAAGATAGGTGAAGAAGTAAGTCCTTCCTTAGACATTGAGGTTTGTAAAACCTTTAGTCTTTTCTCTGATTACAAAGGAGGTACAAACAATTTTAGACACCCTAGAGAGAAATGTCTCTGGAATTGGCAATTCCTTGTAATCTTCCCCTCACAAATACAAGATTGGTATTATAAATGTAAGATACAGAAATGATCGGGTTTCTGAAGTTAGCTTATCTCATGCACCCCACTGCCACAGCAGCTGGGCAGACTCCTGAGATGGAAAGAAGTGTCGAAGACTTTAACTTTGGCTTCATGGTCTTTTTATTGCTTCCTTTTTAAAATTTGCTGTTGATGCCTAGAAAGTAAACAGAACAAACATGTAAGTAAGCACTTCAGCATTTTCTTTCTTGGGGTCTGTGCTCAGGATTCTAAACCAGGGGAGCCATTCTGTGCAGAGGGGAAGGGAGAGGCCTTGTTGCCCCAGGCCCCTCACCAGTGGGCTCCTGAGCTGACCATTCTCCTGTGGTTTGAGGTACGTGGCTCATGGCTCGCAGCTGCTGCGTGCCACCCACCTCCCCTGCTAGCATGTGGAAATAGTTGGGAAATCACGGTTAAAGGGGAAAGATTTCAGCTTTAAGGAACAAAGGGCCACCCACGGAAACTTTGTGGCCCTGAGCAAGTGTTCCACACTCGCTGGGACTCAGTTTCCTCTTTTGTACCTAAATAAGGGGACAAAACTAGATGATCGCTATATTTCAGAATTCAGCTTGAAATGAACCGTCCGTATCTCTTTTGCTTTTGAGAAGAATCCTTAGGCCTTGAGGAGCAAAGTACTCTTGGTTTTCAGTATCCCAGAGTGGCTAAAAACCAGCACCTAGAAGGACAATTAAAAGAGGACATAAAACAGGCAACAGTAAGTTACTTCTGAGTTTTTATAGTTTTGTAAGGTTTGGTGTTCCTGAAGAAAGTCAGTGTGGTGTGCGTGTGTGTGCACAATAGGGAGGGAGGAGAACTAAGAATTAACACTATTGTGTGTCTCTAAAGTGCTCAACCCCACGTTATGCTCAGCCTTTTACATAACCTAAGGTGGTCAGTGTCATCGTTCCTAAGTCCACTGACTGAGGGTTAATCTCCGGTATGTTCCCATATCATACTGAACGCCTTCATCGTGTTCACCTGAACTGTGCTTACGTAATTACTGGCAGAACTTCATTCACTGGGTCTCCCCTAGACCATGTGTCCCCTCTCGTGAGTTTGTCTCATCCATACCATAACCCCATTACCTGGTAGAAAGCCTGGCACGCAGGTCCAGAGGAGACCTAGCATACTCAATTTTAACAGAGCCCACCATCCTAGTCCCTAGCTTGGCAAAAAAAGAGAGAGGAAAGGAAGGGAAAATCTCTGCTGCCCTTCCTCCTCCATTTCACCTAGACACGGCCTCTGCGGCTTCAGGACAGCATGGCTGGAGCCAGAGTGCAAAGAAAAGCAGAAGATGTTGTCAAGTCTTGGATTTTTGAGTTGCCAAGGTTTCAGGTGTTGGCCGTTTAAGGGATTTTTATCTTTAAGGCTGTCAGAGACTCCAGCCCTCAGGAAGATGCAGTATTTAAAAACCGCTTGAATTAAGATCATGGTTACCAGGAGGGTTCTCAAAGCCCGTTGGCGTATCCAAGGGTTTTGGTCTTCTCCAGCAGTTCAACCCTTTGAAAGTGGACCATTGCTGCCCTGGAACCACCCATGGGCAGTGGGCCTTCAGCCTCCACCTCAGCCCAGCTCCTCAAGATCTCCAGACTTCGGCTAATTAAAAAAATGGCCCCAGCCTGGTTGGCTCAGTTGGTTAAGCGTCCAACTCTTTTTTTTTTTTAATTTTATTTTTATTATTTATTTGACAGAGAGACACAGTGAGAGAGGGAACACAAGCAGGGGGAGTGGGAGAGGGAGGAGCAGGCTCCCCGCAGAGCAGGGAGCCCGATGTGGGACTCGATCCCAGGACCCTGGGATCATGACCTGAGCCGAAGGCAGTAGCTTAACCGACTGAGCCACCCAGGCGCCCAAGCTTCCAACTCTTGATCTCAGCTCAGATCTTGATCTCAGGGTCATGAGTTCAAGCCCTGCGTTGGGCTACATGCTATGCGTGGTGCCTACTTAAAAAAAAAGGTGGTCCCTCTTCCTAAGATGGTGGTGAGGAGGTGATATTCTGAAAGGAAGGTACATACTTGGTTTTGGGTTTTATTTTTGTTTGAATTTGAGTGTCTTTAGCAGGTGTGTTCTCCAGTTTATTACTGTCTGTGCCATTTGCTTGCCCATCTGTCACCATCTCTAGTCTCATACCTGCCCCTTGGCCCCTGTGGACGTTTACATTTGTGACCCCTGGGCTGGTGGGTGTCCACAATCTCTGTCACTTCAGACTATGTAGAGTTCAGTGAGAAGTTGGGGAGGGTAGCAGTAAGAGCTCTGTCCTCACCACCTCCTAGTGAAGACGTCTCGGACAGATTACCTCATAGAGGCTGCTTCTCTTCTGTGAAGTGGGGGTCGCAATTATACCTACCTCCAGGGGTACCACGAGGATGAGACAGGATAAAGCTTGTAGTGCACCTACTTGGCACAAAAATATATACTTGGGATTGGCTACGTTATGGTTTCCAGAAAGAGAATGTTAGCCAATGTATACAGGCCCTGGCCCCCTCAGTCATAGGTTGGCATTTATATGAGGGATGTGGGGTCATCTCTGAATTGATCAGTGTTGAAACCCCTTGGAGTTGCCATGCTGGCTCTTTCAGCCAAGCCTTAGCACCGTTTCTTATCACTCAGTCAGGTGCTCAGACCAAAAACAGAAGTGGGTGCTGTTCTCCTGGGACTGGAGGATGCTGGCCCAGCCACTTAAGGAAGAAACTGGTGGCAGGTGTTATTTTCTGAGTGTGACAAGAAGCTGAGTTCACCCAGTTAACTGCTGAGTGTTTTCACAAGGGGCCAGAAGTGATTCCTAAGTAGAGACAGATGTGGAAAATCTAAAGTTCTTGGAAACAAGTCATTAATCATGACCCAAGGCTGAGCTCACTACCTCCTGGAAATCTTTCAGAAAGGCCTTATGAAAACTTCGAGCACCGCTCCTTCAAAGAGTGGTTCCTTTGGAAGCTGCAATCAGCTGCAATGCTGAGGGATTCTGAACTGCAGATTAAAATGCATTCGCTCTTACTTGAGGAGGCCGGCATTTCCTAACTTTATTTAAAAGAAGTCTCTTTAATCTTCTAAGAAATTACTACTCTTCAACTTGGCTTTTCCAAAATGAATAATGGACCTTCAGGGCATTCTAGAAATGAAGTATTGGTAGCTGATGCGTTCTTATTATGTCCCAGGGACCTAGGTCAGTCATTATGTTTAGTACTTTATAGGCGTGGTCTCTGCCTTTCAGTAAATTACACTGAAGGCGGACTAGTACAAAGCACGAGGGTGGAGAACAGGGCTATGAGGAGACAGCCTGTGGCCTTGTGAAGTTCTCAGTGTATCAGGAAAGACAGGTAGGTGAATGAACAGTTGCAATGGATCCGCATCTAGTGGATGGGAGTCCTGGTCTTGAGCTGGTTGATTACCCCCACACTTCCCTTCCATTTCCTGATTCTCAGAGCTCTACGAGCATCTGCATTAGGGAGAAACGAAAGCTGCACCCTGCTGAAGCTTGCGCTCCTGGCACCTTCCTGCCCAAGGCTTCTGACGAAAGACAGGAACTGTTCCTCACAAATTGCAGGGGCCCCACCCTGGAGGACCCTGAGTCTACAATCCTAAGTTTAGTAAGGAGACATAAGGACGGGTGATTCTGCAGTCTAAGATCACCACTGGATTTTCTGCTGGTTTGTTTTTATAACATTTATTGAGGTGGGTTTGTTTTTTTTTTCCAGATTACGAAATTAGAACATGTTCATGGAAGGAAAGCTAGACAGTACAGAAAAACACTTAAATCATCACCCAGTGGTTTCACGTCTCTGATTTTTTAATAAGGCATGGCTAGGTCAGAGGTGAACTTTGTTAGATCTCTTACACACATTCCAGTTTGGCACCAGAAAGTTTCTGCCAGTGTAAGAAACTCCCCTTTAGCAGTACATGGTTGTCCTGTCCTCACCCCCTATCCTCTCACCCACACACTACCACTGCTTTTCAGGTTTCACTTCTAATATTCTGGGCAGAGTCTACCTATCTCAAAGGTGCTCATGCCTTGTACTGCAGTCCCCTAGGTAGGAGAAGCCATTGTCTGTGGTCGGTTAGAGGCTGTAGCCTTCCTTTGTACTTTCCTGTGTGTGAGCAAGAATTCATCCACTGTTCAGAAGAACCCTTGTGTTTAGGCATTACACAAGGCGCAATGGGGAATACCAAGGTAAATTAGACTTCTAAGTAGCTTGTAGTCTGATAGGAAAAAAAGACTCAGATAACTCACACAGGTCATTATGTGCCCCAAGAGAGGGACAGTGCCATGGAAAGCCTGAGAAAGGGGGACAGTAGCATTTGAATCAAGCCTTCAGTTCCACATAGTTTTAGCTAATATTCATTGAGCACCTCATTATCTGCCAGGCACTGAGCAAGGTGATAGGTGGACAGTATTTCATAAAACAAGCATGATCCTTCTCATGGTCGTTCACAGCCTAGGATGTATGGTGGTGTTATGAAGTGAATAAACAGGAATGTGGTCAGGGCAGGCTTGTTTGAAGAGGCAATGTTTAAACTGAGATGAGGTGTCCATTAGGCCAAGAGCTAAGGCAGGAGGTGGGGAAGAAGGGCGTTATAGGAAAGAATAATCCAGGTAGGGACAGGTACACATGTGCAAGGGCCCAAGGCAGGAAAGCATGTGGAATGTTGGAGAGACTAAAGGGAAGCCAGCGTGGCTGAAGCATAGAGGGGAAGGGAACTGAGGAAGAGGTGGAGGTAAGGGTTCAGAGAATTAGTCTGGGGCCTGATAATGATGATTAGTCAGTAGGCCTTTGTGGGTGGTATTTGCTGTGTGGGGGGTGGATTGAGGGGCAGTCGCAGTAGTCATGGGGAGAGAGGATTGGTGTTGTGTAGGACCACTGGGGGGGTGGATGGAAGAGGTAGATGGATTTGAAACTACTAGAGGTAGAAACTTAGTGGCTTCTAGTCTGTACCAGACCCAGGGCTGGGCCGTGAGGCCGTAGAGACAAAAGAGATACATCCTCTGTCTCCTGGGCTTTAGAGGTCTAGTGGCATTGCAGGTTGGGTAGGATGTGGGTGGGCAGACCCAGGAGCATGGGATTTCCTTCCCATAGTCAGCAGCTCTATTCCAGTAAATGAGCAAATTTTCTCTCCAGGGTGGCATAAAATATTGCTCCTAGACTAGAGTTATTTTCCTAAAGGGCAGGAAGAGCTGTTCCTCCCAAGGGCCTACTTTTATTCATTGGCTTGTCTGTAGTTCCCCTTTCTCCCTGTGATTTCATACCTGAGCTTCCTGCTGGACTTGGGGTTTGGAGACCAGAGTTTGAGTTGCAGCTCTGTTACCAACTTGCCACATGACTTAAAAAGATTCTGAACTTTTCTGAGTCATTTTCACCTGTAAATGGGAATGATACTGATCTGATACCTGGGTCATTGTGAAGATGAAATGAGATAAGGTATCTTAAAGTGCTTTGTAAAATATCAAGTGCTGTAGAAATGTGAGGTATCATTATTATTTCAATGCAGTATTTATTACCAGTGAAATAAAATAACAGTTAAAAGCAGAGCATTCCATCAGGGAAGGCCAGAGTGTACCTTGCACGTAACTCTGAAATGGCAGATTCGGTGTAGTAGCTGTCCTTCAAGAGCTTGTTGGGAATGCTGTTCTTCATCTCTTCTCTTTTATTTCATCCACTGGGATAAACCATTTCCTCTCCTCCTCCCGTCAGAGTGGTTTGCAAAAGCAAGCCATTTCACTTCTCTGGATTCCAGAACCCATTTGATGTAGAAGCCAAAGCATCTGCTTGGAGACCAAGAGAGCCTGTGAGCAGAGATGAGGGGTTTGTAGGCCTTTGGTTCCCAGCAGCCAGTTCACTCCCAGGAGTGTATTTAATTGGTTTGTGGGGAGGAAAGCAATCAAGGGCACTGAGCCATAGAAAACAGTCAACAGCACAGAATCAGCCCACACACCACCTAAACAGGGCAGTTTCAAGCCGAAGTTTTAGGCTTGCTTTTGGATTTTAACATGGGAAATTATTTTTTTTTCTAAGTAATATTTTTCCCCTTCTTAAATAAAAAGCGTAAATTACTTAGGAATTAAAGTACCCCTTTTCCCCATCTATGAAGCTTTTTAAAAAAATTTGTCTTCCAGCTACTAAAATGTTCTATTTTGACCAAAAAAGAAAGTGACAGTAAGTGGAGTTGACTATCCCATGTAAAGATAAATGGGTAGTATATAACATTGCTTAGCAGAGTTTTTCTCTGCTTGTCATTGTTTTTGTTTTCATTAATTTTCCCTAAAGTAATACATATGCTCATTGTAACTAAACAATTTGAAGATGTTATAAAGAAGAAGTTATAATCTCTCCTTTCCCCTTACTTCCCATTTCCATCTTTCTGTAATCAGTTTGGTATATATCTTTTCTCCAAGTTCAGGGTGAAATGGATGTAGGGTTTGTGTAGATGTGTGGTTATTTGTTTTGTCAGAAGTGGGATCATACTTTTATTTTGTACTTTATTTTTCCCACCAAATAATACATCCTGGGTAGGTATAAATCTAATGCACCCTTTTAAATAGCTTCAGGGCTGTAGACCTAGAGGTCCACAATATATTCAGCCATTTCTCCTTTGACAGATATTCAAGTTATGTTTTGCTTTCACTAAAAATATTGTTGTGTTAAATATCTTTATGTACATATCCTTCTCTGCTGGCGCTTTTACTTATTTATTTATTTATTTAACTTGACATATAGCGGACACATAATGTTACATTAGTCTCAGATACATAACATAGTGATTAGACAAGTCTGTAAATTATGCTGTGTTCACTACGAGTGTAGCCACCATCTGTCACCATACAACAGTATTGTAACACCATTGACTATACTGGTGCTTTTATTTCTGTAAGTTACATTTTCAAAAATAATACTGTATATTAATAATGCACATGTTGTATATGTATTTGACATTTTAATAGAGAATATCATTCTACTATATAAAGAGTTCTAGTAATTTACATCCTTCCCAGAAATATAGTACTTCCGTTTCCCTAAATCTTTACCAATATTAGATGTTCTTTCCCTTCTTCCCCCCCTACCCTTTGTCTCTCCCTCCACTCTCCATTCCCCTCCTCGTTCCATCCCTTCCTTTATCTGTCCTGTTTTATTCTGTGACCAATCTGATGGCAGAAAATGGTGTCTCTTTGGTGCTTGCCTTGTATTTTCTTTACTACTAGTGAGATTGAACATTGTTTCATGTTAATTGGCCACTTTGTTTTCCTCTTCTCTGAATTTCCTTCACTTTTTTCCTTAGGAATTTTTTGCTTTTTTTCTTAAGTTACAGGAGCTCTTTATATATATTTATATATTAAAGATTCTATATGTATTGCAAATATTTTTCCTAATCTATTATTTGTTTATTAAATTTCTTCTGTTTTTTTCTTCAGTGTCTGGATTTCTTGCCTCGTTTAGTAATAATTTCCCCACCTCGAAGTTATATAAATATTTTCCTAAACATTCTTCCAATACTTTTATGGTTTTAAATCATTTAATCCTGAACCTTTAATTCCTTTGGAATTATATTTATCCGTAGCAAAGAGGTAGTGGTCAAGCTTTGTTCTAGATATGCCAGCACCATTTATTAAATAAGCCATCTTTTCTGTTTTGCATTGAAATTCCATCTTTGTAAGGGGCGCCTGGGTGGCTCAGTCGTTAAGCGTCTGCCTTCGGCTCAGGTCATGATCCCAGAGTTCTGGGATCGAGCCCCACATCGGGCTCCCTGCTCAGCGGGAAGCCTGTTTCTCCCTCTCCCACTCCCCCTGCTTGTGTTCCGTCTCTCGCTGTGTCTCTCTCTGTCAAATACAATCTTTAAAAAAAAAAAAAATCTCATCTTTGTGATAAATAAGTTCCTTTCTTGTATCCATTTCTGAACTCGCTGCTTTAGTCCACAGACCTATTTGTCTGTTCTTATGTTACAACCATATCTTTTTCTTAAGTCTTTATAAAGTAAATTTTTATTATCTCTTAAGACAAATCCCCTGTTTACATTTTTAAATAATTTTCTTTCCTATTTCTTGGCTAAATTTTGGGGAATTTATTATTCCATGTGAACTTTAAAGTAATTTTAGCCATTTCACTGTCCCCAAAAAGCTATTTGTATTCTTATTGAAATTTAATTAAAACTATGTAGTAATTTGGAGAGGATTAATGTTTTTGGATAATTAGACTTCTCTACCCAGGAACATGCTAACTGGTTTGAAACTTAAGTGTTCTATTTCTATATTTCGTCATTTTACCTTAAAAGTTTTAAATAGGCATCATGGACATATTGTCTCAATTAAACAGTATTCCTGCTTATCCTGAATAAATAAGGACCATGCAAAGTTTTAGTTCTGATCTCTCTTTCATCCTTGACACTCTTAGCGTCAAATATGTAATATTGTCAAATTTGTGTTTATCTCCCCACTTAGCTTTGTTTCACTCAATCAGTGTTTTAAATTTACCAATACACTGTACTTACTAATTGTGCTCACTGTTGATTCCAAAATCTCACTCACTTTCTGTGTTTGGTTTCCTTTCTGTTGGAGAATGTTCTTGGAGTCAGAATGGCAAACTTGCTCAGTCTTTGTCTGAAAATGTCTTTTGCACTCTTGATATTTTAGAATTCTAGATAGACAGCATGTACAATGATTATGAAAGTTATGTGTGCTCTTTAAGAGTTTTCTTTTCTTTTCTTTTTTTATTTATTTGACAGAGAGAGAGACAGCGAGAGAGGGAACACAAGCAGGGGGAGCAGGAGAGGGAGAAGCAGGCTTCCCACCAAGCAGGGAGCCCGATGCAGGGCCCAATCCCAGGACCCCAGGATCATGACCTGAGCCAAAGGCAGACGCTGAACGACTGAGCCACCCAGGCACCCCTAAAAGTTTTCAATCAAGGGACGCCTGGGTGGCTCAGTTGGTTAAGCAGCTGCCTTCAGCTCAGGTCATGATCCCAGTGCCCTGGGATCGAGTCCCGCATCAGGCTCCTTGCTCAGCAGGGAGCCTGCTTCTCCCTCTGCCTGCAGCTCCCCCTGCTTGTACTCTCGCTCACTCTCTCTCTCTAACAAACAAATAAATAAAATCTTTAAAAAAAAAATAAAAGTTTTCAATCAAAACAGAAATTTTTCATGTAAAAAATAAAAGTCTTTCACTCCTTTTCCCTGCAGTTTCCGAGTCCCAGAGAGAGTGTTAATAGTTTGCTGATGGCCTTGTTCTGTGTAGATACCAAAACTGTGTATGTGTATACAAATGCTGAACTTTTCTAACAATAAACAGTCATGTTCATATTTTTATTAAAAATGATGACATATACAGTTCTACACTTTATAACAACAGAGCATTCACATTTTTCCTTGTCAGTACAACGAAATCTTTCTCATTCTTTGTAATAGCCGCCTAGTTTCTCACCGTATTGGTACACTGTAACTTAACTCTTCCTATTTCAGACATTTAACTTGTTTCTTCCTTTTATTTTTTTTTTTGGCTATTACACAATATGTTTACTGAACATCCTTTTAGTTATTGGAACATACCTATAGCATAGATTCCTAGATATTTGGCTGACCCAAAGGATATGCACATTTAACATGTTACTAGATATGCTTGTCTTCCCAAAAGATTGTTTTAGTTTACAACCCTAGAGTGTGTCTGGCTCTAATTTTTGTTTTTCTTCTGGTCCCTTAGAATCTCCACACTGATTAGTCAACAGTGGAAAATCTGAAGAGATGCAAGTAGGAAAAAGAAACTAAACCAGGTGGGTAGTCACAATGCTCATACCACTCTACCATAGCAACCCAAGTGTTCGTAACCTTTCTTTCTGTTTGAACAAATAAAAGAAATAGGTTCTGAGTGAAATTAGAAAGGAATTTTGGTCCCATGAAGAAAAAGCAGGATGGCCCTTTACAGAAGTTATTCAATATCACACTGCAGTTTTACAGACCATTTCTTTATAGCATCAGAAAAACAATGTACTTCTAGCGGCTCCAAAGAGAATGGGTTTCTTCAGCCATCCACTTATGCTGATGGAATCGTACACAGAAGTTATTAGCAAATTTAGGCATGATGCCAACTTCCCTGTCCACCAGTTGTTGCAAAGCTATTTTCATAAAGTCTAGGGCACATTATGGGAATTTTAATACTGTGATAGAGGAGCAAAAGCAAGCAAAACCCAGCCTGGAGAAGCAAGCACAGCCCACAGGTCTGATGAGGCGAGATGGTGCGGGTCCCTTCCAGTTGGAAGAAAATCGCAGTTCATGAAACATGAATTGCCTGCTTGGAAGTATGGCCACTCTGGGTCAGTGTTCATATTTAAACATTTCTGGCATCAGTTAATCATTTTTAACAGCCTCTGATCCATGGTTCAGCCCCCTCCCCTCCCCACAACCTGCCCACCCTCTTTCGGCTCTGTCTCCCTGCAGTTAGAGCAGAATCTCCAGCCTCTGTTTCTCAGTCCAAGGCCTAGTAGTCCCGGGAGCTTGGGGGATTTCCATCTCCTTTGAATTTCTTCTCATGTCCTAGCTTGCCTCCAGCACCTAAGATTCCTTTTCTCTGTTGCTGGCAGAGTGAGAGTCTATCTGGCCGCTGCCCTAGGGCTGGAACTCCCCAGATGCTTATCAGCAGGGCTTCTGGGCCTTGCCCTACAGTAACTTCCCGATCTACCAGGCTTGTGTCCTGCTCTGACTCAGTGCCCCTAGGAACCCCCTGGATGCAGCTGTTTGCAGTGACTAAGATGCGGCAGTCAGCTCCCAAGACTGAGTATCTGGCTACGGCCAGTTTAGGAGGGCAAGCCTTCAGAAGACCTCTGTTCCAGCTGCTGTGGGAGTACTGGGGCTCACAGCCACTGAACCTTGAGGATGCTGGGGTTATAGGAAGTCTAGAGCTGGGGTTTTTAGCCAGGGGTTTATGGGTAGCTTCTGGGATTCAGGATTTCCCGTGTACTTATGGGTACAGTATATATAAATATACTTTTCTGGGCCAAGTGTCCATCGCTTTGCTCAGATTCTCAAAGGTATCTGTGACCTCTGAATTTTAAGAATCATTGGTCTAGAGAAAGCCTAAAGTGTTGTAGACCACTGTGTCCCCCTGGGCACTGGCCTCCCAGATCCAGGATCTTGAGAGACCTCACCAGGCCTCTGGGTTTTTCTGTTTCAGGGTGAACTGGGACAAATTACCTAGTATCACTGACGCTGAGAGCCTTCCCATGGGATGTCCCAAAGTCCAATCCTGAAATTGCACTTGCAGCCCCTGTTTCATCTCATTGAACACAGCAGGTGTATTGAACACTCTGGGCGGGTTTTCTGATTTCTGAGTCCTAGTCCTCCAGGCAGCTGTACTGACAGTAGTGAGAATAGTGTTGATGGCTGAAATTCGGTCTGGCTCCCCACTGCCAGGAACAGAAATCAATGCTTTATCCATATCATCTCCTCTAACTCCCACAGCCCTCCAGTGAGGTTGCTACTGCTATTTTACAAATGGAGAAACAGAAGCACAGAGAGGTCTAGTCACTCACCAGAGATCACATAGCCAGTAAGTCAGTAAGTGATACCTGACCCATGCCCATGAGCTTAATCACCAAGCTTTATGGTGAAAGTAAAGGGCGTCGACAGAAAAACTAAAGTAAACAGCAAAAACGGGGTCATTTAGTGTAGGGCAAACTGCCCTGTATACTGTAATAGTGAGAGTGTTGCATTATATGAGAAGAATTTCTATCCATTAAATTCAGATAAGGGTTTTTTTTTTTTACAGCTTTATTGAGATATAACTCATAACTATACAATTCACCCATTTAAAGTGTACAATTCCATGTGACCTTCAGTATATTTATAGAGTTGTGTGTCTTTCACCATAATTAATTTTAGAACATTTTCATTACCCATCACCTTCCCAACCCCCCATCCCTCCCCCGTCCTAGGCAACCACTGATCTACTTTCTGTCTCCAGATGAGGTTTTAATACTTACAAAAGTAACAGTGTGGGAATCTTGGTGATCTGGAGTGAGTCATTCCCTGAAGGATAATTAGACAAATGAAATCTGACTCTAACGTATTTTATAAATGGCTTTATTGGCTAAGAAGCTACAAGCGTGTCTTTGATATGCCCGAATTGGGGGTTGACATAAGCAAGAAACAAGTTTGTTTTTTTTTTTTTTAAAGATTTTATTTATTTATTTGTCAGAGAGACAGAACACAAGCAGGGGGAGAGGCAGGCAGAGGGAGAAGCAGGCTCCCCGC